GTTTGACACCCTCCACCCACAACCGCTCGTGTAGCTCAGTGGAAGAGCACCCGTTTAATAAGCGGGAGGTCTCGAGATCAAAACTCGACATGAGCAGCACATCGCTCTTGCGCGGGACATATCCGCTCTGGCTTTTCCATAACATGATCCATCCTGGTGTGTACGTGTGCGTGTATGTTGTTACAGGGTGGTTAACTTCGCCAGCGGCCCCCTTTCCCGGGGCAGTCCCTGCTCTCCCCTGCTAGAGGGGCACCCTAATCCGTCACCCCATCCGACTTCAGAATGTATTCGTTGGGTTCGGCAACTCACCACCAGCATCCAACCAAATCTAGCGGATCAACGGCGCATCAACTTAGTTCCTGGTCAGCTCGCAAGTTGATATTATCACGTCCTACACCGTCCATATGATGGGGGGCCACCTCCCATTTCATCACTCCTCAAACACCCGAGGAGCCGGCAGGCGGATTTGAACCCGGGTCGACTGGGTCGACTGGGAGCAGAAGTCAGGCCTTAACTTCTGCCAGCCGCCTGCCTATTTACCCGCTCGCACGGCAATCGAGTAGAGAGTACGAAAATAACCTAATGCAGTCATCGACAGCAGAAAACGTAAGCCTCCAGCCTCATGCCGACTCTCTTACCTACCATTCATATTCTCTACCTCGTTCCCAAGACTCCGCCGCGTTGCCTCTAGTTCGGCTCGTGCCACAGGTAACTTCGCTCGTCGCTACTTTGCCATTCACCTTCGCCTCCACCCAGCCTCTGCTTCTCCACAGAAGCGGCGACCTCCTTCGCCGTTGTTACGCCTCGTCTATGCGAATCCTCCTCATCCGACTGTGTCTTCTGCCTACCCGGTGCGCGCCCCCTCTCTCTGCGCATCCTTTTCTCTGGCCCTCTCTTACGGTTGCCTACCTTACTGCAGGACTCGCCCCTTGCCTGTCCGGTGCCGGGCAGGCTTTCCTTGCCTTCCCCGGCCCTACTTGGGGCGCCCCTCCTCGGCTCGTCAACTACCTTACTTCCGTCCGTTCCTGCCCCTCGGGGGCCCAACCCCTCCGCCCTTTCCGTGGGCCCGACGCCCGCTCTGGACTTATCTCACGCCCCCGGCCTCTCCGATGCTGCCCCCCCGA